CTGTGGCAATTGCTCAGCCGTAGATATTAGCATTTGTCATTCTCCCACCTGCATCCCAGTTACACACTCTGTGCCTAAAAGCTATTAGATGAGGGATAAGATAAATACACCAATACATCAGTGAGATGGTTAATGCATAATTAAAATGTATGCAGAGGCACTTTTCACGATCTTGTAAGCTACCATTTAGAAAGATCACTACAGATCTACTGAAATGTGTAGGACTGTAGTGCACAATTTTAAAGGTTTGAAAAACCAGATTTTGACTGAGAGACATTCTTTGTAGGTTAATGAAATTATTTTAGGAAGAAAAATAAAGTTCCAACTCCAATGTAGTCGGAGGCAGGCTCTCTAGGGAGTTCCAATTGCTATCGATAGATGCTTGACCCAGCTTTGAAGCACGGAGGCCTGCACGTTGCTCTGTCTGTATCTGTCTAATCGCACTTTCTTCTGGGCTGCATTCCCAGGGTGAACAGATATTCTAGCTTTCCAATAAGTATGATCTATTTATGTATAAATGAGTAATTATCCTTGAAAGAGAGAAAATAGGACAGATTGTTTTGTCTTCACTGCTGAGATTTTTTTCCTCTGCTTAGCTTTTGTCTTTGTAGTTTCAGATGTGAATGACTACAACTTTATCTCACCCCCTCATATGAATTTTTAATAGCCAAATTGTACACATTTTTCATATTAATTGGTTAAATTGCAATTATGCTTAACCTTGAAATTTTCTTTAGAGATAGCTATGATGTAGAAAGAAAGAAAAATCTGACTTGGGGACCAAATGAACTTTTATTTGAATATCAGCTCAGGGACATATTTTCTCTCCGTGGGACTTTAGGGCATAATTGTCTCATATTCAGTAGAGCCTCTGATAATACGAGCCCTGCTGCCATCATTTTTCCTTCCTCTGTTTTTCACAGTTTCAGTGGGAATATGGCTTAGGGAGGCAGTCAATTACAATAGTGAGGACGGTGGTTCTAAGAATTAGGCCTGGCCTGATTCTTGTTTCTAAGTCTTGTTTCTGAGTATTATTTCTGCCAGAGTCTTGTTATGAAAGTTTGGAGTGTAGTTCTAAGAGCTAAATTTGGCTTGACTCTTGTTTTCTGAGTCTTGTTTCTCAAGGTGATAATATTTTGAGAGAATTACTTTAACCTTGCCAAATTTCTAAATCTTATGGTCTTTTTGAGAATGCATGTAAAATAAAATAACATGGTTGTGTGATATAGAGGAAGCATGCAAAGTAACTTAATGGTAATATAAAAATGATGACAAAGTAATTAACCTATATGTCCCCTCTTCTTTTCTCTTCTTTTTTTTCATTGAGAGAAGAGTCAGACAAGGAATTTTAGAGTCAATATAAGAGAGTGGAAGATTTAGTAAGAACAGCTCTATCAATCTCTATCATTTAGAGCTGATAGTAAGAGAGGCCCTTTAAACCTGATCCTGAAAGATGCTCTGCCCTTTGGAAAATCTTCTGAACAGTAACCGAATAGAGGAAATCTATTTATTTTATCAGTTTGTTCCTGGTTAACATTACTAACTTCCTAACTAATCTATTATTGACCCAATACCAGACATTCATGTATTTCTCTCTGTATCAGTGAATTTATATTTATCAATTCTCCACAATCTATATCTTTCCTTATTTTGCAGTACATGTTTATGATGTGAATATTTATTGCTTATAAGAAATTATACATATTATTGCATTCAAGTACTTATTAATATTTATTATATTTTGTAACTTCAAAAATTATTTGTATTATTTTGTTTTATTAAATGTAGAGTACTGAGCAAATATCTAGAGGGCAGAATGTGAACTCTGGATAGATTGTTTGGATTCAAATTCAGATGCCTTTATATGATATGATCTTATGCCAGCTACTTAAGTGTTTTCTGCCTTGGTTTCCAACTAGATATAAATTCAGTGGATTTCCAACTGGACAATGGGTATGAGAAGTAAAGGACATGATTTAAGGAGAATACCTCACACATAGTAAATAATAAACAGATGTTAACTAATAATATTACTAATATAAATTTTAAAGCATACACATTGTGAAAATAATAAAACATTTTAGAAACCACTAATTTCTTACAGCTTTTCATGCTATGTGAAATAAGCCAGTTAGAGAAAGATAAATATCACATGCTCTCACTCCTTTGTGGAATATAATGAACAGGATAAACTGATGAACACAAATAGATTCAGAAACAAAGAAGCATCGAACAGACTGTCAAACCTCAGGGAAGGCAAGGGGATTGATTTGGGGTGGAATTTAGAGATCAACCAAAGGATTTGTATGCATGAATATAAGCATAACTAATGGACATAGACCCAAGGGGGGTGAGGGCATGTGAAGGTGAGGTAGGTTGGTCTGAGGAAGGTCAATGGAGGAAAAAGGAGACATATGTAATACTATACGCAGTACTTTAAACCATAAAATAAAATTTAAAAGAAAGGTGGAAGAATTTGCGTATTTCTAGTTTTACAAAGAAGAAAGTAAAGGTAAGTCTGACAGGATATCAAATTTAAATGGAAAGTAAACCTATATTGTCACATAAAACTGGTCTAAAAGCAGGATGAAAAAAAAAAGCACCCTAAACTGATAAGTACATAAAGAACGGTTTCAAAAGATATAGTTCTTAAGAAATAGTTCTTGCTTTATCATACATCAACATATTTTTGACTGGTAATTTGAGAAATAATTTAATCAATAACTTTTTCACTATTTAAAAATAATTTAGGACTTTTCTTATACAATAGTTGGAAAAAGTAGGTTTACATTGTGTGTATGTGAAATAGTTTATTCTTGCATTATTATTTTTTTCCATATAAATAACTATTAACATACATTTGTCCCCCTGTAGATTAGTCAATATTTTATTTCTTATATAATTAGACTTAAAATCACAAATCTCAAATAGATTATCAACTAGTGTGTCCTCTGATCTAGACAATGAAACTATGACCCCAAAATTATTTTAAAACTCTGAATTAGGCAATTTTTCCCTATTGTTATAAATTTAGATTAGGCAATAAGTCAGTAACTCATGTCACTCAACTGTGTGACTTTGGTTAGTTAACTTCTCTCAACCTTGGTTTTGTCACTTGTAAAATGGAGCAGCAGTAGTGTTTTTTATTAAGTCACTATTGTGAGAGTTAAATAAATTAAATATCCATGTCAAGTCTTATAAAGATGTATGCAATGGTTAATGACGGAAATATAGTTGTGTACTATCTATTTTTACATTCAGAAGTGATTATCACTTCTGATTTTCAATCTAATTGATTATTTTTCAAAACATGATTTCTAATGGTTATATAAAATATCATTGTGATATTACTGTTTTATTTTGAACATGCAGCATGTTTCCATTTTTATCTGTTGTTAAAAATAAATATTATAGGTAGCTTTTGTTTTTATCTTTGATTTTCTTAGGGTAATTAATGAGTTAAAGAACATGGATTTTTAAAATGCTACCTTGTGGTGCATAATCCAAAATGCCCTTTATCTTTCATTTAGTTGTGTCTGACAGAGTTGTTTTTTCTATACCTTTTAATAGTGATGTTTTAAAATTAATTTTATTTTGCATCAAGTGCATCTATTATATCTTAGTGACTATTTTTATGGCCACCTGTGTGGCATATGAAATATATCCTCTGATTGTTAACTCAGGCCAAAGACAAATATCAGTCTAAACCTCAGGCTCACCATGCACTCCTATCAATCCCACTAGTCCAGTTGTCACTATACAGCCCTCAGAATATGTGAAAACAGTCAGCTGATACCTACAAAATAAAGGTTATGAATTTGAGCTCTATTCTTCAGAGATTTATGAACTACAAAATAGTATTATTTTCATGGTCTGTCGTTGCATTGTGCTCTTTAGCTGCCTTCCGTTTTACGTGGTAGAGCTCCTTAGGATCCATTTGCATGAAAGGTACCCTGTGTACTCATTTTTGTATTGTATTGTGGAGACCGCTATAAACTGCAGGGTTCCTATTCATTTTGGAATTCATTTCACAGCTCACTAATTGTGTGAATGAGAAGAGGAAATGTGTGCTGTTATTCCCAGGCATGCCAAGCAGATGGCCCAAAGTTCATTGCTACCAGCACTGTCAGTATGGCCCTCTTCTGTAGGTAGTGAACCTGGCTTAGATCCATTAAACACAATGTGAGGGTCCACTTCACACAGCATTGATAATCGATGATACTCTAGTTTGTTTTGACTTATAAACACCTTATTTTTTTTTAATCACCAACTTCTAAAGTGGTCAGTCATTCGAGCAGGTGTAAACATGGTAGAATTCATGTTCCTTTTACTTGAGAAGCCAAAATGAACTTTCATTCATATGGAAATTTTGGGAAAAGAAAACAGTGGAGGGGATTAAGCTTAGTTTCTTGAAAGGGATTAATACATGGATTGAAATTCAAAACTGTAGCCTCATTTCTGAGATTTAACCTTTTGAAAAATTAATTGAAGAAGAGATCAGGGTTTATATTTTTATATTTTTAGGCGAATCTCCTACCATATTTTGTTTGTCCTACACTAGAAAATTGTTTACTTATTAATTTTTATGTACAATATGTAATCTGTGTAGCCATTCAAAATTTTAACAATTGCATTCATTGTGTGTGTGTGTGTGTGTGAGTGTGTGTGTAGGTGTAGTGTAGTGAGACAGTAAGATGGAAACAGAAGTAGTAACAAACATGAAGTAATGAATGTCTTCAGACATTTCTTTAACAGACATAGTAGGACAACATGAAATTGGGTTATCACGTTAGGAAAAAAGATGGTTGTCAAATATTCTAATGGAGCTGATGTAGTAATTTGATCATAATATCTTATTTAAGATAACCAGAGCATGTGAAGATACCATGGTCTTCTGGGCATCAATTTCTGTCCTCTCCTCCTTTTCTTCAGTTCCAAACCAACACCATGGGTTTCTCTTGTGTTATTGACTCCACGTTTCCTTTCTTCTTGGCTTTCAGACCGATGCTGCTCTGATGTATGACGCGGTGCACGTGGTGTCTGTGGGCGTCCAACAGTTTCCCCAGATGACAGTCAGCTCCTTGCAGTGTAATCGACACAAACCCTGGCGCTTCGGGACCCGCTTCATGAGCCTCATTAAAGAGGTATGTCAGGGGCTGCCCGTCGCTCCTGTCTCCTTTGTCTTCAGGCTGGCGGCATTGAGCTTTTTGCACTTTTCTTAACGGATGACATTTTACTTTTATCTTTTAAATTAAACTTTCTTTCTTCACAATAGAAGCAAAATTAACACTTTTTACTTAATGATATGAAACAAAAGGGGAAAATTACTTGATAAATTAATGGACATCCTTCAAAAAGTCTATACTTGTGCAAACAGATAAAAATATGTACCTATGATTCATGGCATATTGTGAGTTTCACCTTTCTGTATCTTTATATGTGTTACTTTTCATTTATGTGGAGGTATAAATGTTTAAATTATGCTTGTTTATGTTTTAGGCAAAATAACATGTAATGAATATTTTACATGCATGCCATTTACACTACACTAAGTTATACCCACATTGTAAATCTTAAAGAACTATTATTTAGTTCTTTGGTTCTCAGTTAATATGACTAGTTATTTTAATTAAGAATTAACATAAAACATAATATATATTTATGAAAGTGCAAAATTTATATTGCATAATGCAACCATTCTTATGGCCATATATTATTCCTTACTACATCTGTTGTAGTAATAGACTATGTACATACTGAGGAAGAAAAGGAAAATTCTTAAAAATCATACAAATACACAGACACATATCATTTTTCTATTCTCCCTATTGTGAAGGAAATTCTTTTGTCAGCTTAGGATACTTTTCATTTGATTAAAACAGGAATATTTAGATGAAAGTTTTAACAATGAAAGTTTATTTAATCTTTGCTATGAAAAATCACAGGTATTATTATCATATAAGGTTTTTCATTAATGGCTTACAGAAAATCATCATATCATCATATAATTAATTATTCTTTATGAAAGTAAAAGTGCAAACAGGATCATAATTAAAAAGTCTCCGGGTCTTTGGAAAAGAATATCCTTAAACTCTCCTTGTGTAATTCTTATAGGACTTCCAGATAGGTGACATGATACTCCCTGTAGAACCTGCTTTTCATTTATTGTTCCACCTTCACATTTTCTTCAGGTTTAAAACCGTATCAGAGAGCTGCAGACTTGGTGCACCGGTGTGGCTAGTTGAAGAATAGTCTTTTCTGAATGCAGCACCTGAGTATTGAGGCATGTGTCAAACATCCCTATAAAAGGCAGTTGTATGAAACTCGCTATTGTGTTTATTGTAGGGTGTTAGTGAGGACCTTGTCCACTAAATCACACAATGTCCCCTTTCTGAGGGCCAAAGGAAGCATTTCTCTCAGGTCTCAGTGCCAGGGAAAGCTGTGCTTCTCCTGGAGAGTTGGTATGTTTTAAATCATGGGCCCTGTATATTTATTCATCGCATTTTCTTTTTTCTGGTTTCTAGGAAGTTCAAGATTGAATTTGTGATTGATTTTTATTAGATGTTCAGTTTTACCTGATGTAAATTTTCTCGTGCTGTCTGTATCCCACATTGGTTTTGCTATTCTACACTTTTACTCTTGTACTTCTTGATCACCTTGTCTATTTTTGTACTAATTTGCATTTTTGTTAATTATCTGAAATTATTTTATTTGGAAGAAATTGGATTAAAAATACACTTTTCTTCCTTATGAGAGACCAAATTAATACATGTTTAAGCCTACTGATGGCATGTTACAATGTATATATATATATATATATATATATATATATATATATATATATAAAATGCTTTTTCCTATTTATTTACAATTTATTATATTAAACTATTTTAGAATATCTATCCATAGAATTAAAGAAACACGTGAATTCTAAGGAATGCAGTAATGATAGCATCCATTTGTAGTCCTTATTGAAAATTTCCCCATAATTTACTGGGTTTTATTTCTTTTGGTTCTTGGTCTATATTCTTTCAAACATTACACTGAGTGGTCAGATTATTATGCTCTCTAAACGCATAATAATCTGGCCACTCAGTGTATATACTGTATAATAAAAGGCTAATATGCAAATTGTCCCTCAACCAGGAGTTTGACCAGCAGGCAGGCAGGCCAACTGCCCATGTCCCCAGCCCCTGGCCAGGTTGGCCAGACCCCACCTATGCAAGAATTCATGCACATACATACACACACACACACACACACACACACACACGGAGTGGCCAGATTATTATGTGTTCAGAGATCATAGTAATCTGGCCAGTCAGTTATAGTTGTGACTATAAGTTACAGTACACACATTTTTTCATATATAACTTTTTTTCAAATTATTTTCAAATGACAAATAATGGAAAACACCTATTTTGGACAAAATAGCCAGCAGAATGGGTAAACTTCTTATATATGTATATATTAAAAGCCCAGATATTTGTTTACCATTGAGGGGTGAATACATGAAATATATTATTATATATACTTCCTTCTACATGGAAATCTTTTACTAGAGGAACTAATTTTCATACATTTTCCCTTTATCACTTAAGAAAAGCTAAATTAATAAGTTAGTTATTCTAAGGGGGAAGTGCATAATCAAAGTCCTATAACATAGGTTTTCCTAGAGTCAGTTTCTTTCATTATGGTAAATTTATTTTCACATTAGTATGAATTTAAGAGTGCTATTTTATAACAGTAATTCCATTATAATCTCCATTGATATATTCACTATTTCCTATCTACACTAATAAAAGAGAAAATGCAAATTGACTGTACCTTCATAATGCCTACCAGCTAATCAGGGGTGGGTATGCAAATTAACCCAACAAAGATGCCGGGCTAATTTGCACAGGTGCCCAGTGGCTGGGGACCAGAAGCTTGCATTGTCACCATGGCATCACCACAGGCATTTCTCACCATCCCACCAGCTCCAGGCCTCTGGGAAGTGTAGGAAGGCAGAAAGGCGACTCCAGGCAGGAACAAAGGCTGTGCTGTCAGCCAGGGTAAGGCAGTCCCATTCTGCACTAATCTTCATGCTTCTGGTAATAAATATGATAATAAGTGGCTAAATTTTTCTTACTATGCTAAATGAGATTTTCTCTTTAAAATTCCATAGCAGTGTAAGTTTATGAGAAGTAATAAAAAGGTTTTCCTTTTCTTTTTTTTTTTTTCTTTCTGGAAAAGTGTTTTCTCTTATTTATTTACTAATTTTTTTTTGTTTCTTTTTCTGTAGGCACATTGGGAAGGTCTCACAGGAAGAATAACTTTCAATAAAACCAATGGCTTAAGAACAGATTTTGATTTGGATGTGATCAGCCTCAAGGAAGAAGGGCTGGAAAAGGTACTTTAGGCATTCAGTTTATTTACTTTAAATTATTAAATGAAACACACAAACATACAGTACAAGTGGGAAATAGAACTACAATGCTAAATTTGAGGCATACAGCAACACCATGTGGAGATATTGGCAATGCAATGGTATATGCAATGGGAGTTTAAAGAGATATTAGCCTGGAGGCCCATGGATTGCTTGGGGAGATATTGTAGTTTGGAATAATTTTAGTATAGAACCATGAATTTAAAACTATTCTAAGAGGGGAAGTGAGAGATTAGTAGTGGCAGAAGGCATTATTTTAACCTCTAGAAATTGTGTTGATTTTAATAAGTTTTGGGGAAGCCAGATGACAAAGGTAAGAGGAGACAATAATAAAGGTACAAATCAAAAATTGGAGAAGAAATAAATGGGAGAAATTAACATTAGAAAGAAATTGGCACAAATATCCTAGGAAGACAGATAAAGTATTGAGGACACTTTAAAGCATGTTAGAGAAAAAGGGTATCAAAAGATGCAACGTCAAATGTTTTTAATAGCTTCAAAACTTAGTACATGAAGTTATAACCTAAAAGACAGAGGTAGGTTTCAGTTTAGTCAGATCTTAAGAATAATGTAAATATTTTTGAGATGCTATTGTGGCAGATTTGACTTTGAGTCGGTAGAAATAGTTAAGTAACAAAAGTTACTTTTTTTTAAATTTAGTAGAATGGTTAAGGGATTAAGGACTAGATTCAAAAGAATTGGGCTCAAATTCTCACTCTTCCACTTATGGACAGATTTTGTTTAATACCTCTAAAAGAAAATGTCTTTAACTGCATCGTGGGCAATAGCAATATTTGCCTCATGAGGATTAATAAGTCTTTTGATTTTACTTTTTTCCCCCTGAAAAATATAGTTACCAATTAATAGATGAAAAGACAGAGTTTCTACCTAGACAGAGCTCTCAGTTTGGAGGGTCACTGCAAGGTGATTCAGGAGGCTTAAATTACAATTCTAGTTCTATTCACATATGTGTACTTTGTCCTTCTGCCCAACTTCTCCATAGCCAAATTCCTCATTTTGAAAAGTAGAGTGCAAAGGGCATCCCTCTTAGGCTGAAGTGAGAATTTCATGATCTCTAGAGAAAACCTGGAAATACCTTCTTTAAAAGGGCCCAGGCTAGAAATTTAACTATTCTCCATACAATCTATGATGGGGCAAGGAAAATCAACAAAAAAAAATGTGTGAAATGCTGGCTTTATCCAGTATGTCTTCTCATATTATTGCCCTTTCCTCATTCTGTCTTGGTCCTCTCTGACCAGCACATTTCATTTATTTAATTAATCTTCAGAGAAAATCTATTTTGTGCCATTATGAAGGTTATACTCTAATGAAGGAGACCTGCCAGCAATAAATAAACTCATAAAACTATAATTTTGGATTGGGCAGTATTAAGTGATCAAAAAGATATATTGTTTGCACATCATTTGGATCATTTTATGAAATATGATCCTTAGGGTTGAAACAGTTCATAGGAATAATGCTCATGCTTTTGATGTTTATAATTGTGGAACAGATAAAACAGGAAGAAACAGAGTGTGTTTTAGACAGAGAGGCTGGGCATGTTCAAGGAGATGAACTTGGGGTTAAATTTTATTATGGACATATCCTTTCCACTTAGATAGTGCCCATAGATCAATGTGAATCTCTTCCACTCTACCTCAACAGGGACCTTGGGTGGGACTCATCTCATTTAGCCATGGCCCAAGAAGAATCCCCAATACCATGTAAACAACCAGCCATGTCTGTCCAAGGAAGCTCACAGGGCCATGGAAGTGCCTCTGTGGAGCAGATGAGGGAGAATAAAGGAGAAAAAACACTAGGTAGCTGTCTACCTCAGGCAGTGTACCATAATAGAACAAATTCTTTCTTTAAGAGTCTCATATTGAGTACTAATAATAAGAAAAGGGAAATCAAACAGACCATCCAACCTCAGAGGGAAGGCAGGGGAGAGTGGGGAAGTGGGATAAGAGATCAATCAAAGGACTTGAATGCATGCGTATAAGCATAACCCATTGACACAGACAGTAGGGGGTGAGGGCATGTGCTGGAAAGTGGGAATGTCTGGGGAGAGGTCAATGGGGGTAAAAGGAGACATATGTCATACTTTAAACAATAGAGAATTAAAAAAAAAAAAAAGGAAAAGGAAAATAAGTGGCTTTCCCAGCTTGAATTCTTCTGTTCAGGTCAAAGACCACAGCATATATGCTAGTTTCAAAATATATTTAGAATTCATCCATTTCTCTCCACATCCATTGCTGAAATTATAGCAAGGGGACCTTTCACCTGGACATCTGCATTGGAGTCTCAACAAGCCTCTCTGTCCTACTCCTCCTTATGATCCATTCCGCAAGCCACAGCAGCCAGCTAATGTCTTTGAAAGCAAATTGATGCCATTCCTCTATTTAAACCCTTCCATTTACAGTGCATTTCCTATCTCTCCCTCTCACCTCTCACAATCCTCTCAGATGTTTTCTATTCTCCAGCTACATTGGCTTTTATTTATTTTTTTATTTTCTCACAGACTTAAAGTTTTCTATTACTTGGTAATAGAGTTTCCCAGTCTGGAATACACATCTCTATCCCCTTTGCCTGACTAGTTCTTATTCATTCTTAGGGTGGCAGCTTAAATATTATTTCCTTAGATAGGCATTCCCAAAGTCCCTATTAAATTTGAGTTTCTCAGAGTACCCTATACCATTCCTTTCTGATACCTACCACAATATAGAATTATGTATTTACATGTTCACTTTTTAAAAGGCTGTGTTCCTAGCAAGAATATATGTCCCATAAAATGGGGGGAAAATGTATTCTTACCCACTATTTATGTATTCAAAGCCTAGCAAAGTGTCTGGCACAAACTGTATCCTCAAGAATTATTTGTTGACTGTTGAATGAATGCAGAACACTATGTGAATCATAAGAGATACTTCACCTAGAATGCTACTCAAATCTCTGGTGCAAAGATATTCTCTTAGCCTAATTTTTTTTTCTAGCATTGCTCCATGCCTACAGAATGAGTACAGAGAAATCCTACAGTTAGGCAGTCCTTAAGTTGGGATGGTGGGTCAGGGCATCCAGGGGTAAAGGATTTGATAGTGCAGGAGAAGACAGCACTGAAGTCTGAGCTTATAAAGAGGCACAACACTCCAGTGGCAAATCTGCCTGCCTACGAGGTGTAATGTAATGTAATGTAATACTTTCTGACACTCCAATATTACATCGAAAAAGAGTAAAAATAATCATCATTCTATCTGTACACTTTTCTTCTTATAAACATGTGGTGTGGAAATAAACAAAGGTCAATCAATTGAGAACAAACAGTAGTTATTTTTCAGGGCTTGCAAGGGAGCCAGCCACCGTTACTTTCCTATGGCAGAGATTCAAGGTCAGGCAGGAGAGTGGAAAAGCGTTAGAGCAGAAAAAGGGGAATTCCTCAGGGGTCCGAGGAAACCGGAAGTAGGCTAACTAGAAGTAGGCATCTTGGGTGACTGGTTGGAGGGCACATTTAACTTTCTTTGATAGATTCTGAGTACAAAAAAGAGAAAGGAAGCTACCAGTTACTGAACAAATTTTAATTATTCTGGGCAGATAGCTGCAGAGGTTGTGGCTTGTAATTTGTCTACATAAGATAATTTCTCCAGAGATTCTGGGCCAAAGTTCTAGTGTCATGCATGGTCTGACCATTCTCTGTTTGTATAGTGAGTCTCAGTGGAATTATTTGGTGTCACTTGGAAGGAGAGGGGGGAAAGTAAGGAAAAGGGAAATACAAAAAATTCCTTTGTATTCATAATAAAATGAGTTTTATTTTTGTTTTTCTCTTTTTGGTTTTGTATTGTTTTCAGAATGTATAACTAGGATGTGATCTATCATTAGGAATGGTTTAACCTTACTTACCTCTGATGCATTGATATGTGGTTAGGAAAGACCAGCTTCAGATGGAAGTAAACACTTGAATAATAGCATACAATGTTAAGAAATATTCAGAAGATTCTTATAACTTCAAAAACAATTGAAAGGATTTTACACAAAACATGTTTGGATTGAGATAATGACACTACATGATAATGCTGCATTTCCATTACAAGATGAAATATCTAGAGGCCATTTGGGGGAAAATAACCACTTGTACTTAAAACAATTCTTCTAAGAAACTATAATGCAATAATAAAATCACTGAATTCTGACACATGTTGAATTTTCTTATTGAATGTCCTTTGTCACCACTATGTATATCAACAGATTCTTTCCAAGTGGGGAGTGGTGGTGGGGAGTGGGGAAAACCACTGTTGCTCCTTCACTTTTTCAGTTCTTTAAATGGATTTTTATTGTACTAGGGAGTATTTGCTTCTAAGGGGACATATTAAAATAAAAGTATTTCTGTGTACCTCTCCTGTCCCTTCTTTAGCATCAAGGTTTTTCTATCTCTTCTGGTTATTTTCATGATAATGTCTTGCATATCACATTTATATTAAAAGAAAACTGGGAGAATAGATTTGTCTCTTTGACTGAGAAAGAGCCTAATACATTCTTACTAAAAGTGTTTTATTTTAATATTGTATTAAAAAAACATAATGATGAAAATAATATATTTCTCTTGCTACAGGCCTGGTGTTTAGGAGTATGAACAATAAACCATGTGTTTGCCTCATCAAACTTTTATAATAAAATCAGCCTTTATCTTGTGCGTCCTTAGAGAAAACCTTGTAAAAGAAAAGAGGCTACAAAAAGCCATCTTATGGAATGTTTATCAATTTTTCCAACATTAAGAATCCCAATAAGTAATATAAATAAAAATAATTTATATTTGCAAACCTTTAAAAGTTTAAATGCATCATATTTATTTTCAAGTGAAGCTTCATTCCAACTTTTAAAATCTTTGGTTTCTGGCCCTAGCTGGCTTGGCTCAGTGGATAGAGAGCATTAGCATTAACCGAAAGGTCCCAGGTTCCATACTAGTCAAGGGC